AAAGGTGTTGATCACAGAAACCAAACCAGGAAGGTTCTTTCTGCATATAAAGCAGAAAGAACCTTTCCATTTGGTCCCTTCCAAGGTAAGTGATCCCCAGACAGGAGAGGCACTTAAGGCATTCACTTGTTTCTTATTTTGAAGTAGGAATTAAAAAGCTACAGATCAGAATTGTCTGAGGGAGACTTTAAGTATGTATACCTAATACATTCAAGTCTCAGAAACTGGTGGCTATTTCTATTATTTGCTCAGGGTCAAGAATAAATGATACACATATATTTAGTGCCTTTAAAAGTCACCTCATGTACTAACACACTTAAGGAAAACGACATCTCTGACGTGGGAAAAGGATTATAAAGGAAATAATGAACTATTAGAGTTGTGATGAGTCATTCAGTATTCAAAAAACAGCTTCTTTGATTTTGAAGAAAAAAATCTCAGAGTTTACCTACTTGGACTAGGATTTATTTATTTTATCTATTTCAAGTCAGAGCAAATACTCCTAAAATGATTCTTGACTCTTGAATTTGAGCTGATTCTATTTGGTCTTTGCAGACCAAAGGGGCAGATATTTCAGGACAGGTGGGCTAGGGGAGACTGAGGTTGAGTGTTGCTGATGTAGTAGGATCTGGTTTCTTAGCCTTTGTTACAATTTGTAGACTCGGGCATACATGTTCAGAGAGGCTGCATCACTGAAGGTCATAGGAGTTGGTGGGAGGAGGATGGAAGTTAATTCATGTCTATGTGTCTTTACCCCTGATGTCCTTTCTTCCCATGCTTTGCCCATCTCCCTGCAGATGGACTCTGTGGCATCTTGCTGCCACATATATAAACCACTGCTGAGTCCTTGGCTTTGAAGTAAGCCCCATCTTTTAGAATGCAGTGTATGCACATAGAATTGGCAACAGTGCCCTGAGCTATTTTTGGCATTCCAGGTTCATTATTTCACTAGTCCAGACAGAATCCACATCTTTAAGAAGAGAAGTGATTTTTACATTAATTATACCATTCCTTTTTAATCTCCAACAACATATACAAAAAATAATTAAAAGGGGTAGTTATAATTTACCAACCACGTGAAATGTAATTAAGGTGAAGGAATTAGCTGTTCCTTTGACGGTATTCCAGAATCACACTTACATATGGAATCAGTTTGGAGAAAACTCAATCTGAAAGAGTCTGAATTTTAATGCTTATTAGCAGATACTGATGAAGGGCAAAAATAAATAAATAAATAAAAATAAAGATATAAAAAGATTCACCATCATGCTTCCATAGCAATTACATTAACATTGCATGTCATAATTTCTGGGCAGAATAACTTGTCAGAAACACATGGAAAGTGTTACATACTAACACAGACTTAGCAGCCCTTTACTGAAACAGGAAGAATTTGTAAATTTTCCATCCTTACCCCCAGTCTTTCCACCTTACACAAAACCTTTAGTCTTTGAAGAGCTAACTTTTAGCATTTTGAATTTCATGGTGCGTGCAGTGTATAGGATGTTTTCTTTGCTTCTTCTCTGCTGCAGCACTGCACCTTACCCTTCATTGTCAAGGAATTTGCAATGGTCTGACAATGTCCAGTCTCTCTACCTCATAGAATGACATTTCCACAGCACCTTTCTACCAGCTAATTGTTATGTGAGATGTGCTATAATTCTCCTCTATACAGTGTCAGTGTCTGGTGACAATTTAATGTTTAATTTATAAGGTAAATCTATGCTTCCCATGTCTTTATACTGACATCCCAAGGACACACACATTCTTAGAGTGGATACTAGCAATGTGACATTAACAATGAAGTCAGTTACACAGTGGGTCAACTCAAGAGGGTAAATATTTTGGAAGAACAGTCTATCACACGGACAGACAAATAACAAATAAATAAATCTTAAAAAAAAAAAAGATTTATTTATTTATATGTACAGAACTGGAGTACAAGCCAGAAGTGCAGGGGCAGTGAGAGGATTCATCAGAGACAGAGTGGGGAGCAGAACAGGCAGATCGACGAAGTACATCGCTGAGGGGAGCATCATGCCAGAAAGGAGAGGTCTGCCGCACCACGTGGGTCACCTCCTGGGCCAGGGATTGAACTTGCACTGAAGCGGTTGCAGTTCTGTTGCAGTGTTGCATCCTAACTTGCTGCACCACCAGGGAGGGCTGGTAGGCACTTTCTAAGACTGTATGTGGAATGAACCAAATGCCCCCAAAGGAGTCAGTCATTTCATTTTGTCATAGAATAGAACGCTATTACCTAAAGTGTTTTCCCCAGACCAGCAGCATCTAGGAGAATGTTTGAAAGACAAATTCTTTGCTTCACCCAATACCTGTAGAATCAGAATCGATGCATTTTACCAAAGCCTTCCAGGTGTTTCTGTGCTTCAGCACCTGAGAGGCAGGTGTTATGGGACATCCATACAATCCTAAGAGCTTCAGGAATTCGCTCTCATATTGGGGGCATCTTAACAGATCTAGAGAATATACATGACTGTGCATTCCCATGTCTTTACTCTGACATCCCAAGGACACACATAGCTTATAATGGACACTAGCAAGGTGACATTAACAATGAAATCAACTTCATGGATTTTTCATTATGATTAAGTAGAATATCAGTTCTTCCTGCCATGATTTCATTGTTTTTTATGTCTCAAGTTAATTGTGTACTTGAAGCGTGTTCCTTTGTGTGTAATTTACTGCAATTATTTCACTCATTGAAAATGCTGATGATAAATAAGTAAGCAAAAAATTTTTGACATGCCATGAAGGAAATAAACAATGTTACTGCCAATGAAAAGTAGACACATCAGTCTTTTTGTTTTTAGGTTTTGTCATAAAATAGCAAATTATACATAATTGTATTTTGTTTTCTTTCGGACTGCAAGTGCTACAAGATCAAGGACATAGTCTTGCTTCCTGATATTTCTTAAGCAACACTGTCTGGCATAGAGTAGGCATGTAGTAAATATTTATGCATTACAGCTGTTAACTAAGTGAGTCTACTAGAGAGAAATTGATGGAAACTCTGTGCATAGTTAGGGGAACTAGAAAGCATTTTATTTGTATTATATTAGTTGTTAAATACTTTTCTGAGTTAGTCTACATTTTATCAGAGTTTTTATTTTTTCAGGTGGAGTATATGGAAAAATAAAACCTTATAATGCAGTAATTCATGAATTCACATAGCACACCTGGAGTATATCATGAGACCTAGGATAAGGGTTTGACCACACTTTGGTTCATCTTTATTTCTACATATGACATTTGCTTTTAAAATTTATGATAGACCTTAAACACTTATTTTAGTAAATTGGTGAAAGCTTACAAAACAACTGAAGGACCTATACAATGAAGACTATAAGACATTGTTTAGACACAAGGAATTTTATGCAAAAAAAAAAGAAAAAATTTTATGCTCATGAATTGGAAGAATTAACATTATCATAACTATCTTACCAAAAGAAATATGCAGATTCAGTGCAATTCCTATCAAAACAGTTCATAACATTCATTTCAGTGATGCCTTTGGGACATCACTACAATAGAAAGGGAAAAAAAGCAAAAAAATAAACATATGGGACTACATCAAATTATAAAGCTTCCGAACAGTGAAAGAAACTATCATTAAAACAAGAGACACCCTACTGAATGAAAGAAAATGTTTGCATATCATACATCTAACAGAGGACTGATCTTCAAGATCTCCAAAGAACTCACTCAAAAAAAAATAAAACAAATAATCCAATCAAAAGATGGACACAACTAACCAGACACTTCTCCAAAGAAGACATAGAGCTAGCCAATAGCCATGTGAATAAAATGCTCATCATCATTTATCAGGGAAATGCAAATCAAAATACAGTGAGATACCTTAGACCTGTGAGAATGGCCTGCCTCAAAAGTCCAGAAGCAACAAGTGCAAGGATGTGAAGGAAGAGGAACCCTTATACACCTTTGGTGGGAATGTAGATGGTTCAGCCCCCTGGAAAGCAAAACAGTTTTATTTCTCAAAACATTAAACACAGATCTACTATCAGGTGCAGCTATACTACTCCTGGGTATCTATCTGCAGAATACAAAAACACTAATTTGAAGAATATATGCACTCATATCTCATTGCAGCACTATTTACATAACCAAACTAAGGAAAGAATGTAGTGCCCGGTGATAGATGAGCAGATAGAGAAGTGTGTGGTGTGAGCGTGTGTATACATACAGACATATGTTCGAAAGCTTAATAATTTGATGTCCATTTGTCCATGAATGTCAAATTTTGTACACAATATAAACTTTGGACACCCTAGACGTCAATCATAAGACCTAGTTCCCATCCTAACTGAGAGAAAACTACTCAAAAAGATTTTGCAAATAAACTCTCTTCAGTGTTGTCAGAGTTGAATCTTTCTCTGATCCCCATTGTGGGGTAGGATTATAATGTCCTTTGGGGAGACTGATTATGAAGGCTCCTATTACACTGTGATAGGTCACATTGTAAATGATCGCCTTACCAAAAATTGTAAGAAGTACATAATTCAAGTTTTATTTTAGAAAAATAACTATGGAAGAATTTAAAGAACATAAATGACTAGATAATCAGTTTGAATGAACAGATGGGCTTTACTATGATGTCAGCTGTGGTAGGACAAATGCTTATTTATATAGAATAGAAGGGGGCAGAATTAAGGTAGGATATCACATCGAAGGAGGCCAAGGATATGCGGTTAACTCCAAAAGGTAGGATTAGGTTACGGACCTCAGGAAGCAGTGAGGATTAAAACTAGACTATCATATGCTTCTACAGTTTAAATATTATCTTAGTAATACCTTAATACCTGATTGGTGGGAAAACAGAAAGGCATAAAGCACTGTTATTTTTTTTACTTTACCTCCCTTTTCCCCAGAACATCTACTTTTTCAGGTAAATAGCAGTATATATACATAGTGGGAAAAGAAAAGATACTGTCACTCTTTTAAAACCTTTTTCTTTTATGTTACAGCTGATTACAAGGAGAGCTTTAATACCATTGGAAACATCGAGGAGATTGCATATAACGCTGTTTCTTTCACCTGGGATGTGAATGAAGAGGCCAAGGTGAGTGTAAAAGTAGCGCTGTGTTCATACCTTTCAAATTACCTGCCATTCTCTGCAGGTGATTCTTTTGCAAAAGTCTAGCTAGTTAGGGAAGGATTTCTTCACGCAAGTCAAAAAAAAGGGGATGAAATGACTGTATTTCCCTAGAAATTACACGCATTCAATTATGTGAAGCTAAATTGCTTTTGGGGAAGGCAAAGGAGAAAAGGGAGTGTGCTTGATCTTCTGGGGTCTGCTGAAATCGGACCCAGTCGCTTGACCCTCTCAAACTCCTTTTGGCTTTTGGGACTGGCAAAAGCTAAAACCAGAAAACCTTTTCCAACTCCATTATAGATACCCTCCATGCCATTCCCCAACCACTTAGCCCCAATACTCCCTCTGACTGCTGTCTTTCCAGAGGCAGTAAAGTGTTCAGAGCTTAGGTCTTCATTGGTAAGTGACTGGGCAAGACCCCCTGATCCTCCAGCTCCCCCCAGGTTCAAAGTGTATGAGGGTGCGAGCAGATCTCTGACCTTGCCCACTAAAGTGAAGCCATTACCATGACCTTGAGACATTTCCTTCATGTTGACTGGTTGAGCTTTTGCTATTTTTCTGGTGCCAGTACAGTTAAGAAAAGTATTGGCCCACCATTGCACTGGTTTAGATAAAAATGTAGACTCACTGATATCTGGATTTGCTTTCCAGTCATGAGTCTGTTTTTATGTGGACTCCCAACTTCTTTGCTATGCCCACCCTTCTTTCTGTGTTCCTTAGCTTCTGATCCTTGATCCTTATGTTACACTTAGGGAAGTTTTCAGGTGAAATCTAAGCTTGTTTTCTGCTTCAGTTATGTACTATCTAGGAGGGTGTTAGAAGACTTTGTCTTCGAACTAATGAAAAGGTCAATGTAAACAACTTCTTTCAATGCTTTATTGTCTGCGAGCAGGGTGAGAAAGGAAGCTGGATGGGAACTTGTGGGCATGATTTACAGAAGAAGATGAATTGCTCAGTGTCTCATTTCACTCATGTATGAAACAGTGTAAATGGAATTGGCTTTGGTCCCAAGAAAGGTGACCCAAATGGGCAAGCAGCAGCAGAGCACAGAGCTCCCCGGGGAATGTTCCAGGGGCTCTGTGCATCCCAGAGAGGGAAGGGGGCCTGATGGCAGCTGTATGTCAGGTCCCTTACAGAATTATAGGGAAAGTTTGTTCCAGGATCTACCCTGCCTCCATGTAAAGTTTCTCTCCAACCCATTCGCTTTCTCTTCCTGCCATGCTCTCTCAAAGTCTAGATGGCTGAGCCAGATAATAAAAAGGCAGCTTGTCCATTAACACTACAGGCCACTGCTGGGATCCTTAGCAAGTCATCTGACCTCAAACCAACTTTGCCAGTAGTCTCTGTTGTAATGGTGTTTGCTCTGGGTATGATGTGTGAAGACCCAGTGAACTGGGTAGGGAGGCAGGAAAATCGATGACCTGTTGTCAGCGTGAGGTGAGAGGCCAGCAGGTAACAGTCACTGGGGAGACAGTGGGACCCTGTCATTGGAGGGACCTTGCCAACACAAAGCCAGCTGCCATCGTGAGCTGCCACCATCATCCTGCTGCTCATTAGCCCGGCATCTGTGTCCTGAGTGCTGGTGGATGCTAACTGTTGGGTGAGGTGTCTTTAGGAATCTTTGAAAGAAGGTGCCTGTACCGGAAGGGACAGTCTGAATGATGGAGGTTCTGTGGTAAAGCATCAAAGTCATTCATTTGGATGACACACTCTTCCTCTTAGGTGTTCATTTCTCTCCCTTCAGCTTGTGCGTGGGTTTGTCTGCACGTGCAAATGCATGTTCTTTCATGCTGACGAGATAAAACTCATGGTGTCATGGCCATGGAGGATGTTTGTTTGCATCTCATATTTTTAGTGACTAGTACTTGATTGTTGGAATTGTATGCAGTCTGGGTAAACACATAAGTAATAAAAGAAATAATTCTCAATACTGAAGGAGTTTAAAAGGAAGCATAAAAGTCAAATCTACTTCATTAGAGAGGATTTTTTCCCCCAACCTGCAGAACCTAAGGTATTTCTTTAAAATATTATTGATTTTATAATCAGCACTGCAAACAACAAATTGCTCAGTTATGAAACAGGGTCAGATGTGAAAGATGCCCCTCCCACAGTGACTCTTGGTTCCCACGGCACTACCCACATATACCCACACAGAAGTCTGTAGGCTCCAGGGTTGGGGTTCTCATTGTCACATGATGTTTTGGTTTCTGGGGCCAGAGCACATAACTTCGTGAGCAACAGCTTATGTATGGGGGACAGAACTTATGTGACCCTCATATACTTATGTATTAATATTTCAAAATTTAAATTTTGGCCTACATTAGTCAGAAGGGTAATCTTTAAATCTAGGTTTATTTATTTATTTAGTTATTTTTTAATAATTAAGGAGTTTGGCATCCATGGCCTGAGTGTTTGCAAGGTCATCAGTGACTTCTGTGAGTACTGGCTTTTCTCTTTAAAGATTCTTTTGTTTTCTCCGTTTTTTAATTTACCCTGCCTAGCCTGGTGGACATTGGAATTTTCATGCCCTGAATACACTCCATCACATAATTTAGATCAGTATTTGGAGATCAATGCTGGAGAAATAGTGGGCACAGCATAGTAAGAGGAGCGGAACCAGGAGCCCTGCCTGAATTTTCTGGTTCCTTTGCCCCGCCCTTTGGCAGCGGACCAGAGCCTGACATGTTGGTACTATGAATGTGTGACTGTGATATCCTCTTGAATGTCCACAATGGAGCAAATCTTGATCTTTGAAGATATTTTTTTAAAACATTAGAAATCTGTGGGAAATGTGTATCAATAAATCAGATGATACCATTTTTTGGTTAAGAATGAGATTTGTTTTGCACAAGACCAACTTTGTAGAAGCCTGCACAGACGGGGCACCATCAACATTCTCTGAACCATGGCAGCATCATTTGAGAAAATTTGTTTTTCCAGGAAGACTACGTGGAAACTAACTTTATTATGAGAAAACAGCTTACTGTTTGCTTGTCTTGCTACAAATACATAATCAAGATCTAGAGATAAAGCTTGTAGATTTTTCCAGCATACATTCCTACTTTTTCCTTTTGTTACTGACTTCACTTTACTTCTACCTCCTATTTTCGATGAATGGAAGAAAGGAAGGACATGGAACTCTAATCATATAGGTTAACTTAGTTATGGGGAAAAGTTTGGCTAAGGACAGTGTTAAAACTCTGAGTTAAAATGAGATGCAGAGATTAGGCGTAGATTTCTAGCCTCTACTGTGGCAGGATCCTGGCAGAAGTATTCCAGTTCTTCTACCCAGAACCGGTTTTGCTGGTTGTGCCACCACATCTGTGCCCAGTGACAAGAGCAGCCAGGACATTCTTTCCCCCTTAGGGCCTGTGCTTGCTGGAAGCTTCCGCAGCATGTGAATGGTGTCTGTGGGTCCCACTCGGGTGACACATAGGTGGGCAGGTTCTGAGTGCCCACCTCTTCCAGCTTGGGCATTGATGGGGACTGGAGCAGAGGGTGATACAGAAGGAAATATCCTTTCTGGGCTGTCATGGCACCAGAACAGCTTGCTTTTGACATCTTCCTTCTGAGCTTCTGTTTCCTGAGCTGGGACAGGACACAAAAGGGAGCAGCAGGGACTTAATTATTAAAATTGATTATTAGTAATGCTCAGATCATGAAGGCCCCACCCATATGATTGCACTGGGAGGATGTGGTGTCCCGTACTTTCACTTGACTCCCACTTGCAGGTCATTTCCATCTTCTTCCTTTGGCCAAACACTGGTGCCTACAAAGTAGATTTGTTGGCCACTAATCCCCAAGATGAAGAATTCCCACGCAAGACCCTATTGAATCAGTGAAGAGTGCTAAGCTCAGATTCCTGGCACGGGGAGCTGCTTTTCTCCAAGCGATGACATCACCCTTCAGAGCAGGGGCACAGCAAACCCTAATTACAGGCTCTTCTTTCTTCCAGATTTCTAAGGAGAGTCTTGAATTTGGGCCCCTTATTTTTGTCCAGTCCCATTTCCCTGTTCACAGTGATTTCAAGATTAAAGGAAACTCAGTGTGATACAAAGACCTTTCTCATGTGACTACAGAAAATTGCTTGAACATTAAAATGTTACTCAGTGCAATAAGGAACACATTTCTTTTTTGTGTTGAACACTGAAACACCATAAAGATTCCCCCCCCCCCTCCATTTTAATGCTTTACTCTCTTGTGGCTTATAAATTACCTAAGTGAAAGGAAGCACAAACCCTTTTTAATCCCTTTGCAGTCAAACTTTTGGAATGTTCTTAATTCAGTGAAAATGTGTTTTCTCTTTCCCCTCCGGCGTCACTAGATAGTCAAATGAACTATTAGTCCACCCTCTGTCTCGATGATTAACAAAATGGCTGCTGTAATTCAGTGATACAGAATTCTGTCTCCCCTGCGTGCCTCTGCTGCCCGGCACCCAGAGCAATTACTTCAGGAATCCCACCTACCTTGCTTTCACCATCTGAGCAGAGCTGAAGGTAGGACTTAGGGGCATTGGCTAATCGGCACTCAAATACTCTTTCTGTACTTGGGGGTTTGGGAAGAACTTTCAGACAGTAAGTTGTTGGAGTTTTAGAAAGGACACAAACCAGCATACGTTTTCATCTTGTTAACAAAGTTTACGGTGAGATTGGGGAATGAGCAAAGCTGAGATCTAGTGAGGGTGGGGTAGGGATAATGAAATTGAAAGACAACATGGATCATTTCCCTCAGGTTCTGGCTCCACTACATAATAACATTCTACATGCCAGGCACTGCAGAAGTAGGCGGATTTTAATTCCATGTCCCTCTGAGTCCAGAGTCCTATTGTGGACCATCACAAGAGAGGGAAAGCTGCTGTGAAATTGTTTAAACCAAAAAGATCTATGATTTGTCCTCGAGAAAATCAATACAACTTTTGTGGGTCCAGAAAGAAAAGAAAAGGAAAAAGAAAAAACAACACATGATAA